GATTTTTCTCTGTTTCTATTTTGGTTTTCTAGATTATCCATAGTGAAATGATTGAATGATTGGTGGGTTTCTTAGCTTGTTGAAGCAGAAAGAAGTTTGCAGAATTCAAAAGCCAAGTTAGCTCAACTTCGTGGAGTTTCAGTTCCATCTATTAGTGCAAAGAAAGATAATAAACCATTGAAGACTCTTAGAAATGTGAATGTGAGTGAAGACTATGCATCTCCATCACCTAGCAAGACTCTAAAACCTTGTGATAGCTCTGATCATCCCAGAAGTAGTTGTGGTAGTAGTGTATCCAAGGCTAAGACTGTTGTTGTGAAGCAAAAATCTGAAACATCTCGTGATAGTCCTAATGTTAAAGATAGAGGGATGAAGAGGAAATTTGGTAACCACTTTTGAACATTTGTTTTCTTGTATTTATTTGAGAGTTTTTTTAGTCTTGACTGATTTTGTTGTGTCTTGTTATTGCAGAGCAAAAGGAGCATAAAGAGTTGATTCGGTTGATAGCTGGAAACTCTTCACCAACTACAATTAAGTGTCATACTAGCAACCAAATCTCTAGTCAGCATAAGAGGAAATTAAGAAGCTTGATTTTGTGTCCTGTAAATGAGCAGTTGTTTGCAACAAGGTACAAGACTCTTTAGTCTGCTGGTGGGTTTAAAATGGGTTCTTGAATCTAATATCTGTCTTTGTATTTTCATGTATCATTAAGTTCTCTGGATGGAATGGTCAGTTTATGGCAACTGCAGCCTGGAAGGTGGGTTTTTTCCCATTATAGTTATTCTCTTGTCTCTGTGGATTGTTTATAGATTTACCCGATTGTTTGTTTTTATAGCAAGTTTGTTATAAACAGACTTCTTCTGTTGATGTTAGTTTGGACTAGTCTCTTATTGGAGGTGATAAAAATGATGACTTTAATTTACTTGTTTTAGATCTTCTGGGTTTAGGGCCTCAGATTTGGATAGAATCATATGCACTGACTTATGAATATCAAACCCAGTCCTTTGGTTTAACTTAATTGAAAGGGGAAACACTAATGACTTAGTATCTTTGCATTTGTACCCGATTTTTGTTTGTTTATGGTAGAGTATTCTTTTTGTTGTCTATACCAAACAAGGATTAAACAAAAGAAGAAGCTTGTTAGAAGGATGAGTATATTTAATAACCAGAACACATGGAACACATTTCAGATATCTAGCTAAATCTTGACAGGAATTCAAATTCAATGGTCCTATCCCAATTAGGAAGAAACAATGCAAACCTGATTTAGAGCCAAAATTAGCTCATAGATATTGACTGTGTCTTTCCATGTAGGGAATCCAATTGTTGTGATTTCTTATATTTTTGTGCGGTCTATTTAATTTCAGATTGGCTGCATCATTGCTTAGTACTACCGACTGTTTATCTCGAAAACAAAGAAGATGGGCAGAAGATATGGCCTGGCACCCTTCTGGGAACACCCTTTTCTCTGTATACACTGCAGACGATGGGGATTCTCAGATATCGATCTTAAATCTGAACAAGACACGCGGGGTAATTGTTACTGCACCACATTTAGTACATGAAGTTTCTGATAACAAAGACAAAGCCAACACAACACACTAGTTCTTTGCTTTTGGAAAGTATCTCAAACTAGGTACTTTTCTTTTGTGTTGGTGAAGGTTACTTTCCTGGAGAATAAACCTCACGTAAAAGGGATTATCAACAACATTAAGTTCATGCCTTGGGAAAGTACCTGCTTTGTCACTGGGGGAAGTGATCACGCTGTTGTTCTATGGAACGAGAGTGATGATGAAGAAAACAAATGGAAGTCGAAAACTTTACACAGGAATCTACATTCAGCTGCCGTAATGGGAGTGGATGGGATGAGAAACAAGAATGTTGTCTTATCAGTTGGAGCGGACAAGAGAATATACGGGTTTGATGTTCAAGTCGGTAGAGCAGACTACAAGCATCAAATAGACTATAAATGCATGAGCATTCTCGCTAATCCTTGTGACTTCAATCTATTCATGGTTCAATCCGGGTAAGAAGAACTTATCAAATATGGTTTCCATTTTTGCTAGCGGTTTTACTAAAGAAGAATCTCGACATTGTAATGTCAGGGAACCCGAGAAACAGCTTCGACTGTTTGATATCAGATTAAGGAAAACCGAACTGCATTCGTTTGGGTGGAAGCAAGACAGTAGTGAATCACAATCAGCTTTAATAAACCAGTCTTGGTCTCCTGATGGTTTATACCTAACCTCAGGCTCAGTAGACCCAGTCATCCATGTTTTTGACATCAGGTAACTCTTTCACAACATCAATGGCTCTCTGTTTACACACACATTGGATTGTGATTGTATTGTTGTTTCACTTGTGAATTGTGATAGGTACAATGCTCGTAAGCCAACACAATCGATAAAAGCGCATCAGAAACGAGTGTTTAAAGCGGAATGGCATTACTCTCAACCACTTCTCATCTCAATATCTTCTGATCTCAACATTGGTCTACACAAGATCTCATGAAACTTTTGAAGTTCTCATGTCTTTGTTCCTCATTTCTTATTATCTGAATCTGAGGATACAGGTTCAGGTGGCTTAATATTTATCAGTCATCGTACCAATTCTTAGTTCTAGGCATAAACATCGTTCCCATATGGATTGTATTAAACTCTCAATTTATTAAGGATTCGTTTATTATAACATTACTGCAGAACGAAAGAACAAAACACCTAAGATTTAAAAAAAAAAAAAAAAAAAAAAACCAAACCTTTTGGTCGAACAAAAACAGAAGAAATCTCAAAGTTCTGTCTTTTTCTCTCGTCAATTTGCGGATTTTGTTCTCACCCTCAATTGGAGATGCAGAGAGTCTCCATTAATGTCTCCGGAGTCAGAAGATTCTGCGTCACCTCTCTCTCGTCACTTTCCGCTTCAAACCTCACCGGTAAAAATCTCTTCTTTGTATCCAAATCAGACATTTCTGTGGATGGATTCCATGTCTGGTGTTTCTTAGGGTTTTACTTTTCTGGTCTGGGGTTTATCTAATTATCATCAATCTCCAGTTTTATGGTGTTTACATAGCTTTTTGGGTTGATTCATCTTTAAAGTTTCTCTCTTTTTGAAATTTGGAGCTCTTGGCATATGTTGATTCATGTTTGGTGAATTGTGCTAAAATTCACTTTATAAAGTTTCATGCTTTCTTTTGTAGATCATCGGATGTTGAAACAAGTTCTTGAATCATGCAAAGCTCCTTCAAATTCTAAATGTGTTCTTCAAGCACATGCTCATATCTTTAAACTTGGGTACGGAACGTATCCATCTCTTCTTGTCTCCACAGTTGCAGCTTATAGACGCTGCAACCGTTCATATCTTGCTCGACGGCTTCTTCTTTGGTTCCTCTCTCTGTCTCCTGGTGTCTGTAACACAAACCTAATCATTGAGAGTCTTGTGAAAATTGGAGAGTCCGGTTTGGCCAAGAAGGTTCTTCGTAACGCGAGTGATCAGAATGTGATCACCTGGAATTTGATGATTGGTGGTTATGTTAGAAATGTTCAGTATGAAGAAGCTTTGAAAACTCTTAAGAATATGCTTAGTTTTTCGGATTTTAAACCGAATAAGTTCAGTTTCGCTTCCTCTTTAGCTGCTTGTGCCCGTCTTGGAGATCTACACCATGCGAAGTGGGTGCATTCTCTGATGATTGATGGTGGGATTGAGTTTAATGCAATATTGTCTTCTGCACTTGTCGACGTGTATGCAAAGTGCGGAGATATAGAAACTTCGAGGGAGGTTTTCTGTAGTGTTAAACGGAACGATGTGTCTATTTGGAACGCGATGATCACGGGTTTTGCTACTCATGGGCTAGCCACAGAAGCAATCAGAGTGTTTTCAGAGATGGAAGCGGAACATGTTTCACCAGACTCAATAACATTTCTTGGGCTTTTAACGGCTTGTAGCCATTGTGGTTTGCTTGAAGAAGGGAAAGAGTACTTTGGTCTAATGAGTCGGCGGTTTTCAATACAGCCAAAGTTAGAGCACTACGGGGCTATGGTTGATCTGCTAGGCCGAGCAGGACAGGTAAAAGAAGCGTATGAGTTGATAGAATCAATGCCGATTGAGCCAGATGTGGTCATATGGAGGTCTCTTCTTAGTTCTTCTAGAACTTTTAAGAATCCCGAGCTAGGAGAAATTGCGATACAGAATCTTTCAAAGGCAAAGAGCGGAGACTATGTGTTGCTTTCGAACATCTATAGCTCCACGAAGAAATGGGAGAGTGCTCAAAAGGTTAGAGAATTGATGACTAAGGAAGGAATCCGTAAAGCAAAAGGAAAGAGTTGGGTGGAATTTGGAGGGGTGATACATCGGTTTAAGGCAGGGGATACATCTCATATAGAAACAAAGGCTATATACAAAGTACTAGAAGGTTTGATACAGAAAACTAAGTCTGAAGGATTTGTGTCTGACACGGATTTGGTGTTGATGGATGTCTCTGAAGAAGAGAAAGAGGAGAACTTGAATTACCACAGCGAAAAGCTTGCGTTGGCATATGTGATCTTGAAGAGTAGTCCAGGAACAGAAATTAGAATTCAGAAGAATATACGGATGTGTAGTGATTGCCACAACTGGATAAAAGCAGTGTCGAAGTTGTTGAATAGAGTGATTACAATGCGGGATCGGATACGGTTTCATAGGTTTGAAGATGGGTTGTGTTCTTGCAAAGATTATTGGTAAAAGAGACAATTCTACAAAAGCTTTCTATCTGCATTCTTTCTTCGCAAACTCGCAAAAGGAACGATCAAGAAACCGAAATATTACAGGAACTTTTAAGCTGAGTTATCAGATAGATGCACTCTGAACTATTGAGAAAGTTTAGTAAGTTTTGGGAATGTTAAAGTTTTATGGACTAAACTTGGTGATTTACCATTTTGTCCTACTAAAGTGGCAGTAATGTGTATTGGATCGGAGGGTATAAGGGTAATAATAAAGAAATGTTAGAATTGAGAAAAAAAAATCCGACCTGCCGGAATCGAACCAGCGACCTAAAGATCATCTGTTGTGAACAACTACAGTCTTCCGCTCTACCAACTGAGCTAAGGTCGGTTTGTGATTTCAATCAACTTCTTCAAATATAATCATATTATACGTAAATCTTCTCATATTTGCAAGAATACTCTAATCCGTCAACACAACACAATGCACCATCAAAACTTCACTGGACCATGATCATGAAGACTACTCGGATGGCAATATGTAATTCACTTCTCCGATCCTGCGCTACACCGGACTGGGATGAAACACATTGATCCTTGCACAGTAGAAGGTACAACACCACTGACTAAACCCTCCTCTGTTTTCAAGCCATTGTTTATCATATTTGGAGAGAAAGGAATGAGCTAAAGCATCTACATCGGCTCTCCATCTCTCCCGTATCATGTACAATCCCATCACTTCGCTTCATTATCCTCCAGGCTTCAAGCTAGGTGACTTGATGCAGCGTTGGTGCTCCACACGAACTTGATCTTCTCTCGGACTTCTCTGTGTCGGCCTTTGCAGGAGAAGCACAAAACCTTCTCTCCCATTTGTCTTTGTCTTCTAAATTGGTTCCACTATAAACAAATTCTTTGTAATTTTTTTCTTTTGTTGATTAATTAATTTAACATAATAATAAAAAAAGTACATGACCATCAAGAAGAAATGTAATTCTCAATATCACAAATACAAGATTATGTTCAAGAACCATGAAAAGCCAAAAAAGTTCATTGACCCATATATATATTAAAGTTTAGTTTCCCATCAGCATAACCTGACTGACCAGTCTTGTTCAAAAAGACATGAGAACACTTGAGGAAGAAGAAAAACATAAATGAATGAAAAGTTATTATCGCAAACTATGTAATAATAGACTAAAAATCTCCTCATTTTCTTTTGCCTCTTGCAACTACTGGAACTTTACTGGATTTGCACCGAACTTGGAACATAAGAGCACATATGTAGATAACTTTCGGGTTTTCTACATTTCACTTCTCTGTAGTATCCATTCTCTCCAACCATGTGAGATTTGTAGTTGTTCCACGTTTTGCTGTCTATATGACAAATCATTGCTACTTTCTTCTTCTCGTCGACGAAGAAAATCCAATATGGAAACCAAAATCTTTCAGTCAATAGTCTCATATCAACTTTTAAGAAGTTGCTCCACAACACTATATTGGGCTCAATCTTAGTTGTAATCCATATTTTCATCTCATATGTATCACACTTCGTAAATAACACTACAATTGCTTCTCTGTCCTAACAGTAGATAGAATTACAGCATCCTCAGGACAAGAGTGAAATGGAAGAGGAAGACGCGGTCCAAATCTCTCACTTGTAAAATCAAAAGAAAGTAAAAATAGTTTTACTTTCAACTTTTCATGAGCAATACAGTAAGCATTGCCCTTCAAGGACACAGTACTCCAACGATATATATTACAGTCGGTAGTGACATCAACCCTCCATGCATTAGACTTAAAATCGTAGATTTCATACTCACGGTGGAAAGACGAGAACTTCAAGATTTTGTGGTTGTTGTTTGTGTCGTATCCCATATAAAACATGTCTAATATACACAAGTTGTTTCTAGGTCGGATCCACCTGGTTTGGCCCAAATACGGGTTCCAAACCATGAGCCTAGACTTATCCTTAGCGTTGCATAACATCAATAACAATAAACCATCACAATGAAACAGTAGTTGACTTATTTTGACTTGATTAAGTTTACCTATTTTCTTTAGAGATGGATCTGCCAAGTCTTTGTGATTATGGAGATTGACGCTCATTAAACAAGCCTTGAAATCATATATCATGATCACCGTACCATAATCTCCTTGGCTTCTTTACCATAATGGTTTTTTGTAAAGCTCGGATCTTTGGATAAATAATCATTCCATTGTTTACAAGTTAATCTCACTGCTCTCAAAGATGTTATTGGAACCCTAGAGAGTATCTCTTCTACCAAATCCCGGCCGGAAAGATCAGACATCGACATTTTTTCAAATAGGGATTAGGGTTTTTAACTTTTACGCTTTGCCACACTACTTTATATATATATATATATATATATATAGTAAAAAAAATGGTAAGATAAATAAATACATACATACCTATTGCCCTTTAACATTTTTTTTTAAAAAAAGATAAAAATAAATACGTCATTTACTTGTTTTTTTTTTTTTTTGGAATATTTGAGGAAAATTGTTGCTACTAAATTCAGCTTGCTAATTCCAAATTCCTTATCAACTAGATTGTTGCTACTAGATTCTTACAAGACATTAAACCAGATAGTAAACCATAAACTTAAGTAACATTAAACCAGAATGTAAGACTTCTAATTCTCGTATTCCATTCTATCATGTGCTTGTGACCTCTATAACATTCTCAATGAGAGAAGCATATGTGAAATTGAGAAGCATGAAACTGAAATCACAATGAACTTCTGGTGGTCATGGTAATGACACATAGAGTTCACCACCACTTCCATGGTAATGACACATAGAGTTCACCACCACTTCCATGGTAATGACACATAGAGTTCACCACCACTTCTTTGCACAAAAAAAAAAAAAAAAAAAAAAAAAAAAAAGAGTTCACCACCAGTTAAGCAATCTGCTTTTGATGCATAAATTTTACATTCATACAACAAAAAAAAATGACCCATAGAGGAATGTGCTTAATCGACCAGAATTACCAGTGCCGGCTTAACAGGGGGACAAACAGTGCGACTCCCAGGGGCCCACAAACCAAGGGGGCCCACACAAATTTTTTTTCCTTTGTAAACATTAAAAAATATATATATATATATATGTGCAAGTATAACAGAAAAAAAAAAAAAAATTACTAAAGGGGGCCCAAAAATATTTGCATTCTTTGTAGGGTTAATTACGGGTCAGGCCCAACTTTTAAGTTTTTCTTTCAAGTTTTGACAAAGTGGGGATTAGCTTTCAGCATTTGATAATTATGTCAATTTCTGACGAAAATGCCCTTGTAGCCGAACCGGTGTACAGTGACAGCGAACGAAATCGTCAGGCGAGTTGGTTACGTACACAGTATCTCATTAGCTACAATTGATTAGTTTTTTAATATTTCCGTCGGATGTACAGTGTACACCGAACGAATAAAACAAATAAAATATGTTGTCACAAATGTTTTAAATGCTGAAAAAGTTGAGACATGACTCATTCCAACTGTAATCAATGCAAACTCATCATTACATTTTATTTTAATCCTCTTAAATCAAATAATCGTACTGTGTTTAGATTTTGTAAAGAGAAATAAGAAAAAACACAAACTTCCCCTAAATATCTATGAAGGAATGAGATTGTGGCCATTTTGATCTTGTTGTTTAACAAAGTTTGCAGGCGAGAAAGCAGTGACCATGGTAAGTAATGAAGTTGTAAATATAAATTTGAGGTATTACATACACTTTCAATGAAAACAAAATTGATTTGGATACAAAACTTCAGGAAATTGATCATTTATTCCTGTCTTCATTCTATATTTGTTCTGTAATAAATGTTAAATGAGGAGATGCAAAGTCTTTTTTTAGTTGGAGTTATAAAAGTTGTTCTCAGTTGCATTTAATGGGGTTCTCCTGAATTTATGATGCATGATGTTAATGGAGATTTCAGTATTTATTATGGTTGGTGAGTGGATAATAACAGAAGAACAATGGAAATTTGAACCTGAGAAAGGAAGCTATGGTCAGTGTGTACGTGTTAGAGAAAACATGAGGTACACGGATTTGGCACGTACATTATGTGAGGTTTTCAATTTGAAGTACAATGAATGGCAGCCAATAATTAGTTACTGGATGCCAGGAAATATGTCAATTATGATAGAACGTACACGCCCTCCTGTCTACATTGACAATCAAATGAGCTTAGATACATTTTTCCTGATTCGTGTTGGGGATCCAAGTGTCAACTTGTTTGTGTCGTTCAGTAGAACTGTAGATGCCACTACTAATGCGGATGTAGATGAGAAAACTGACGTACAGGATGAAAAAACAAATGAAGATGCAGAGGATGACAGCGACGAAAACATTGAAATAGATGACGATGCCAGTGGTGGATATAGTGCGGGAAGTATCCTCGACCCTACTATAGACGGCAGTGAAGGTAGTAGTGAAGATTACAATTACAACAAGTGGAATGATTTGATTGTAGAAGAATATGGAGTTGGCCATGTTGAGGAGGACGTCTGTGACACTCCACCGACCGTAGAACCGGCAGGAGAATTCAGTCGTCTATTGGAAGAGTGTACGAACACAAGTAAACGTGTACGTACAGGAGAAGGAAGTGGGAATTTGGGTGACACCCAGCCCACTGTGAATTCAACCCGGACGTGTCAACATGGATTGCTCCAATGTACGTACACTAGAGAATGTGTACAAGACACAGGATGCGAAGATGAATTTGTTACGTATACGGATACCGATGTTAATGGTAGAGACGAAGTCAATGGAGAGATTGGTGTGGATTTGGATATCGGAGGTTCAGAAACTGGTGTCTTAAATGAAACTGATCTCCGTATACAACCCTCGGTTGAGGCTTACGAAGTGTATAATGGATTTTCTTTATTACATAGTGGAGAGCCGGAGATTCTTGATAATGATGCTGCTCCAGTATTTGATGATTTAGCCAAAGTTAGATGTGATTCTACAGAAGTTGAAATTAGTACGACTGGTGAGACATTGTATGTGGGTGGTGTGTTTATGAACAGGAAAGTCATACAACAAACTACGGCTTATCTTGCACTCAAAGTTTGCTTTTGCTACAAGCAAACTCGGTCTGATCCTAGAAGATTGGAGATGGTTTGTGTGGATGAAAATTGTCGGTGGCATTTGTCTGCAAAGGTTGTCAAGAATTCAGAATGTTTCAAAATCACAAGGTATAATTTCATCCATACATGTGACATCGACACTCGCAAGGGTTACGCTAAACATGCTAACTATAAACTTCTCGGAGAGGTAGTGAAGAGTAGATACAGTTCTACGCAAGGAGGTCCGAGAGCTGTTGATTTACCACAGTTGCTATTAAATAATCTCAATGTTCGGATTTCATATGCTACAGCTTGGAGAGCTAAAGAGGTGGCAGTTGAAAATGTAAGAGGGGATGATATCAAAAGATACAGGTTTTTACCAACTTATTTGTATCTTCTTAAAGCAGCTAATCCTGGGACAATAACACACCTCCACTCTACCCCTGAAGCTGATGGTAAGCAGCGATTTAAGTATGTATTTGTAGCTCTCGGGGCATCCATAAAAGGAGTTAAGTATATGCGGAAAGTAGTTGTCATAGATGGTACATAGCTAGTAGGTCGTTACAAAGGTGTCCTCCTAATAGCATGTACCCAAGACGGGAACTTCCAAATATTTCCAATAGCTTTTGGTGTTGTTGATGGGGAGACCGATGCTTCATGGATTTGGTTCTTTGATAAATTAGCTGAGATTGTTCCAGACAGTGAAGATTTAATGATTGTCTCGGACAGGCATTCTTCTATTTACAAAGGACTCAGTGTTGTGTACCCGAAAGCTCATCATGGAGCATGTGTAGTACACCTTGAGCGAAATATATCCACGTATTATAGTAAGTATGGTGTTTCGGGATTATTCTTCAGCGCCGGAAAAGCATATAGGGTGAGGGATTTTGATAAATACTTTGCAGAGTTAAGGGGCAGAAGGGCTGGATGCGCAAAATACTTGGAAGAAATTGGATTTGAGCATTGGACAAGAGCTCACTGCAAAGGGGAACGGTACAATATCATGTCTAGCAACAACTCAGAGTCTATGAATAACGTCTTAACCAAAGCAAAAGCATATCCGATTGTCTACATGATAGAGTTCATTCGAGAGGTCCTTATGCGGTGGTTCGCAGCTAGGCGGAAAAAAGTGGCTAAATGTAAATCTTTAGTGACGCCTGAGGTTGATGAGCGTTTTCTCCAAGATTTACCTAAGTCCGGGAAATTCACAGTGAAGATGTCTGGACCCTGGAGTTATCAAGTTACAAGCAAGTCTGGTGAGCATTTCCATGTCGTACTCGACGAGTGTACGTGTACGTGTCTTAGGTACACGAAGTTAAGAATTCCATGTGAACACGGTCTAGCAGCTGCAATAGAGTTTGGGATTAATCCGAAGATTGTTGTTGGCTGGTGGTATAGCATTCAAACGTTTTCCGATTCTTTTCAAGAACCGATTCTACCTATCGCGGATCCAAAGGATGTTGTCATCCCTCAAAATATTTCAGAAATTATACTTATTCCTCCTCACAGTAGACGACCACCCGAGAGACCAACCAGCAAAAGGATACCTTCTAGGGGTGAAAACCGGGTAAGTTATATAATTTTTCCTTGTACGTTATTGACCGTATCTATGCTATGTCTATATACATGATTTTCTTGTTTACTTTTGTTGTTTCTCACGTTCAGAAAAAAAGACAGAAAAGACTAAATCCGAATCTCTGCACAAGATGTAGACAAGAAGATCATAACAAGAAGACTTGCAAAAATCCAATTTAGCTCTGTAGGTTTGTTTTTTTTTGGCAAAGTGTTGGCAGTGTACGTTTATGTATTTTTTGTGTATCCAAGTTTATTTCGTTGTACGTATGCCTGTGTACGTTTTCAGCTTCCCCGTGTACGTATACTTTATAAATGAAACGGTTATAGACGGTTACACAAGGGAAAAGGGATTTTCATATCCGCAATTTCTGGTCCGTGGATTTTTATACCTGCACATTTTTTTAGTGTATTTTTCAAATCGATTTCGCATTTCCTCTTTTTCTTATCGATCATTACAGAAACCCAAACACAAACATCATTCATACATATAGATTCTCATACTTCAAAACACATCATTCTTTTAGTACAAACCCACATCATGCATTCACTACAATACATATAGATTCAAAATATAAACCTGAAAAGGAAAATCAACACCAAAGCAAACACCACGATATTCTGCAAGCTACGGAACTGAATTTTCAACTCTGCAAC